GCTCATACAATGCCCCAAGCCCTAAGCTCAAAAACCCTTAATCCTAAACCGTAATGTTGAGGCCCAAGTCTCTGCTCATACAATGCCCCAAGCCCTAAACTCAAAAACCCTTAATCCCAAGTCTCTGCTCATACAATACCCTAAGCCCTAAACTCAAAAACCCTTAATCCTAAACCGTAATGTTGAGGCCCAAGTCTCTGCTCATACAATGCAGTAAGCCCTAAACTCAAAAACCCTTAATCCTAAACCGTAATGTTGAGGCCCAAGTCTCTGCTCATACAATGCCCCAAGCCCTAAACTCAAAAACCCTTAATCCTAAATCGTAATGTTGAGGCCCAAGTCTCTGTAGAGCCACGGGGCAAAAACCGTGTCATTGCGCCCTTCATGCTGAAATGTTGCCATGGTCGGAAACCTCAGTCGCGACAGGGTGAGCCGTAAAGGCAGAGGGCTTAGGGTTTCGTGTAATTCAGGGTAAGTAGCCAGAGTAATGGTTATTGTACTGATAACGGTAAGGTTAATTTAAGAATGATAGTTAAGCATTTCTAAAATTGGTAGATGTAACTGTAACTCGCAGCAGAAATAATCACAATTCTGGTCGCAGTGACAGCCAAAATATGTTCCCAACTTATCATTGGGTGGGAGAGGGCCCAAATTGTAAGAATGGTCTTTGGGCTTCATTCTGGGGATTACGTATTGTGGTTACCTACCTGCAGGACCACCCTCGCTACTACAATTACTCAGGCTGCCCTGCTAGCACATTGACGGATGCTCGCCCAACGTGACGTTACGCATCCCCTTTTAGAAGCATGGAGCCCCCAAAGGGGCCCAGAAGGAGTACGGCATTTGTGGAAGAGGCCTTACGAGGTCCCATCTTCGCTTAACAAAGGCGAACACATGACACCACTATGGTAACGATGAGGAGGCATTGTCTCCGAACTCTTCCTACTGCGATTCCGTTTTCTAATAGGAACCCCGCTTTGGGAACCAATATCTTCATGACTTTGGTGCGAGAAGCTTTGTAGGGACTAGGACCAGAATCGTTGTCCGCTCATCTTTGGACACAAGCTTCCTCAGCATGCGATAAGGTTTAAGGATTTGGGAGCTTGGCTGTTCAGGCTGACTCTTTGGGGTGTTTTGCGCTTGACAGATGCCAATCTATGGCTTCGTCCTTGCGCCGAAGATGCACAGGCTCCTGTTCTTACGCGGGGCTTCCCTAATGCAATCGGTCCTGTCACGCAACAGTGTGAGTCAGCCGACCCTGGCCAATCGACCAAAACATTCAGGACAAGAAGCCTGACTGATTAAGCCATGCATGCCTGGGTAAGTCAGCGCCACGCTGTTTGGCCCTGCCCAATAAATGCTTCCGGACATGTAATAACTCGTCCTGCCCGCAGCGCCCACAACAGTTGTCTTGACATCCACTTAATGCTGGGATGCAAGACGATTCAATCCAGCGAAATCCAAACATGGTGCCGCCGGTTTGCAGAATCGCCAACACATGCTCGCTGTTTGCCCCAACTCGGGAAACCAGGTTTCAGTCTCACGCCGCAGATGCTCTTTCTACGCATAGTGACGCATGTTGGTCGCGCACATACATGCATAAGCCAAAGCAGACAGTTCTGCCAGGGCATCGCACAAGTGCTAGAACATCTTGCCCAATTCCGTACCTGCACGTGTAAGGAGGAATATGTGGCTCTGTGTGGGGGTGCTCTAGATGCATCTATGAGAAGGCCGCAGATACGCTTTCAGGCGACAAAGGTTCTGCGGAGACATCCTGTTTGTGTCCTCCGCGCACACACACACAAAGTAAGTATTTGCTGCGATGCGGGGAAGGCAAAGGCTGCCCCCGGACAAAGGCCAGGCAATCAATTTTCCGTCGTGACTTAAAACTTGTACTCCCAGCCCAGGCATGTTCGTGTGTTCATGTGTGTGCCTGTTATACCCCAAGCAACCGCGCTCATTCTTCTGAAGACGCCTTGCAACCGAAGCCCTATAGCCCTAAGACCGAACCCCTGCAAGCACTTGGTGCTCAGGTACTATCAGAGGTGATTAGAAAGGAGCGCCCATGGTGATCGACTCAACCTGAAGCAGAAGTAGGTAAACCTCCTGACCACTGCTGCGGAAGCGTCTGTTTCCGCAGACTCTCTGGCAGGTGCACTCCTGCCAAAGTGGGCTTAAAGACTTTGGGGTCGAGAGGGCTTCAGTGGGCGTGGGGGGTTTTGGGGCTCAGGTCCTAGGATTTAATGGGTTTGCGGCACAGGGGCTTCGTGTGAGGGGCCGTGGGTTCTGGGAACCTGAGTAAGACTCCTGCCAACTAGGAAGAATGTGTGCAAAAGCCTAACCCGCCAACCTTGTGCCCGAAACCCCATACCTAATGTAGCCGAAATTAAGCTGAAGATGCGCTTGGGCCAAGGCGGCATGCAGAATAATTAAGCTCTTGTGATTACATGTGTTTCGGATAGGATTTTGGGAGCCGGGTGTGCAGGCTTAACGTCTTAGGTTTGCACTCTCGGGCTTGGAATGTTGATGGACGGGTCGCGGTGTAGGGCTTCGCACTGCGAATTCCAGCTCTAAAGTGTGGAGGAAGGACTGAAAGCCCGGCTTGCAGTCCTGCCTAAAAAAACAGCAGGCCCGACTTACATTCGCCCCTGTATGTTCGAGGAAGGGGAGTTCACAAGGCAATCCACCGGAACACATGGAAAAATGCAGCAAACTACTTGCTGGTGCTTAAGGGGGAAGGGGGTACTGAATGTTGGTACTGTAGAAGCCTTAACAGCCACCAATATTCTCATCCTGGATTCTGTATACTATTATAGTATAGGTACCCCTGAAATAAACTTCAAATAGCATTGGTATTTTTTAGGCTCTTACAGCACCGTTACCACAGTTTAATTTTATGAAGTCCCGCTTGCCTGCCACATTCCCGTCGGTGTAAAAGCCTGGAAGGAAGGTGTCGCGGATTGGATTCATATGGAAGTTAACGGGAGGCCCAACCCGCAGAATGGTGTTTTGAAACAACTATGCAGGACTTGAAAAATCATCTCTGGGGAGCTTTGCAAATTATTGGTCCTCCCTCAAGGTCCCTCTGAGAACAATTATCATACCAGTATGGGCCACCAATTCATCAAATACACAGCGTTTCAAAGCGTCAACCTTCCTGACAGTCCTGACACGCAACATCCTAGTGCTCGAAGGAACAAGCTACGCCAGATTGCAACATTTGGGCCGTTGATGTCATTACTCCGAACAGAAACTCCTAGGCAACCCCGTCCAAAGTGTCCAAGCATCTCAGGCCAAGCCTCAGACTCCAAACTCTTTTTGTTACGTCTGTTCGGAATAGTATTACGCTTATCATTCTTATTGTTCTGCTTCTGGTTACAGCTATCCTTACTGTTCTGAGTCTCACTATTGTTGCCATTCTTCTACTTCTTATTCTTCCTAAAGCTGAGAGGCCCAAGACCATGGGCTGTAGAACTCGTGTTCGGGGGTCGGACTTCCTTGGCACACTGCGGCTGCGGGCACTAAGGATACATGAGCTTGCCAGCAATAGGACATAAGTGGAGAAGTAAAGGGGACATGCATGGAAACTACTATTTAGGGTCTAGCTTGTTTCTTTATATCACCCTGCACACCTTTTCTGGTGCAAGCCGTCGTGTTTAGGGCTTAGGAGTTCGGGTTATCATGGAGAATCAATTGGAAATGAAGATGGAAAACTAAATGGAAACTGGTTGGCAAGCCCTGAGAAGCCCATACTGAGTGCCAAAAGTCCTAAAACCGCAAGGGCTACAAGCCACTGCTGTCCTGTTAGCTAGAGTTCTACCTGGCACCTCTGTCAGTGGTATAGGTCTCCGGGATTAGTGTTGTTTAAGATTTTTTTGGTTCTCACAAATTTGTGAAAAAACCTTTTTTGTGGCGGGGGGGGGGGTAATGCAAACGCACCTTTGAGAAATGCTAGTTGCCCCGGAATACCACCCTCAACCCGAAACGTAGTCTTTCCCTTGACACTGACTGGCCGCCTGGAGCTCTAAATCCTAAGCCTACCTGCTATATGGGGGCTTCCCAAAATTAGGGGTACCATTCTGGGGGCCCCATAGTAAGGACTATAGTATTTTGGGTTCTATATTGGAGACCCTTTATTTTGGGAAACTACCATATGAACCCTTACCTGAAAACTTCGCATTCCCTCACATCCTCTTCCCCCAGAATCCCCAGCCTCTTGTTCGAGGGACCTTTCAAAAATCCGAATCTAAGGTGTAGGGTTTAATGTTTCGAGCATCCTCTAAAACCCCAAACCCTGACCCTCCCAGCCCCCAGTTCTGCATCAGAGGGGCACCTGGGACACGAGGTCATCAGTGAAGGTCTGGACCTCTGGCGTCAGAACTTTGTCTGCGCCTGTACCTGAGAGTAGCGATTTTACAGGAATTATAAGAGCTGTAGTCTAAACTCCTTAAATGGTTTACATAGGGGATTATATAGGGTTTCTCTTAAGGGCTTATTAAGGGGGATACTACGTAAGAGTTCAGACTATAGCTCATAAAGCATAGGACCACAATAGTCGCGGCAGGGTTGTTCTAGGGCATGTGGTGTTCAGACGTAAGCTAGATTCAAATGGTACAGAAAATAGAAAATGGAGTGGAAACTGGGCTTGTATGGGGTTTCCAAGAATACGGGTACCCCCTGGGGGTGCTCATAATAAGGATCTATAATATTTTGGGTCTATATTGGGTTTCCCCTTGGGAAACTATCAAAAGTGCGTGTTTAGGGTCTCAGTCAGAGAATAGGGGAAAGGGAGTGCAGCTTTGGAGGTTTGAGAACTACCTGTAAGGAGGTTTTTGGGGATATGCGGCTACTGATTCTGGCGTTTCCGAGAATGAGGGCCCCCAATAGGCACCAAATTTCTACCGGGACCCACACAAAGAGACCCCAATTCTGGAAACTCTAATCTGAGAACCCACCCTAAACCCTAAAACCCACACATTCTGCACTCGCCCACGTGGGTTTAGGGCTTTCTATAACCCCAGATACCCCTACATACTCCATATATGCCCCTAAACCGCTACATTGAAGCCCATGCAGTTTATCCCAAGATGCTGCGTATGAGCATCATCACTGGGGCTTCCAAGCCCTGCGCGATGCGGGGGAAGAACTCCTCTAACTCCGCCTCGCTAGTAGGGAAAGCATTACAAATTCGGGTAGAAATCAGGGATTATAAGGGGGTAGATCGGGGTTTCTAGAGGGTTTATGTACAAAGGTTACACAGGGATATAGGGCCCCAAAACGGAGAATCAAAGGAACAAGAACATGGACAAATTCATGGAAACCAGAGTTATATGAGCCATAATCTAAACTCCTAGTATCCCCCTTAATAACCCCTATAGTAGTCCCCTATAGAACCCCCTATATAATCCCCTGGTAAAGAGTTTAGACTAAGGCTCATATAGGGTTTCCATCCGGATGTTCCCCTTCGACTCGGCCTCGGTATTGTGGAAGGGTTCTGTACAGAAACTACTATAGGGAATGGCAAAGAAAACGGAAGCTGCTATATCGGTAGTAGGGAAAGGGTTGCAAATCAGGGTTTAGGGTGCCCTAATTGAGAATCTAATGGACAAGAACCCGCAAAATGACATGGAAACTAGGGTTACAGAGTGGTTTATGTGCGACCTCACGGTGCTGCAAGACAACATCATGCAATCGCACACCAAAACCTGGTCGATGCCAGGTCTTTTGGAAAATGTTAGCACAAAAGCCGAAATGGAATCCAAACCCCCGATCCTTTGTCTCAAAAAACCGTGCACCAATCTGAAGTTTATGTGATTCTGCAGGACGTCTGGATGGGAGACAATAACTGCTACTTGCTTGCAGACATGCTACGAAAAGCAAGCTGCTTCATTATTTTTCTGCATTCTGGGACCGGGCACCTTGCCATGACTTCCAGAGGTCCTCAAGCAATGCCGGGAATATCCCATATGAGCATTCCTCCAATCCCTGCAGTCTCTCAAGAGGATTTCGGTGAGAAACTGTTTAGCACTGTTGCTTCTGTTTGCAACAGTCTTACGCACACATATATGTACATATGC